TGTGTGTGTGTGTGTGTGTGTGTGTGTGTGTGTGTGTGTGTGTGTGTGTGTGTGTGTGTGTGTGTGTGTGTGTGTGTGTGTGTGTGTGTGTCTTATTGAATCTGAGGCTCATTATCATGCTGATTTCTGCAAAGGTAATGCCGCACATACAATCTAGTAAATGTAGCATTTTTGAGCGTAAATGTACAAAGGCCTTATCTCCTGGAGTTCTTCCTGTGATGCTTGGAATGGCAACGGATTTAGCAGTTATCAGTCCTGTTGCAAATCACTAGAGCAGCATGTGAATTGAAACTATGTGCAATACTTCAAACAAACTATGACCTCCCTTGACTTGCCTCAATATGGTATCACTTTATTGACACATTGTCTGAAACCAAAGGTCAACTACTGTAGTCAGTAACTTTCTGTGAGTGATCTTTTTTTCTTCTTCTTTATTTTTCGGTTTGTTAGTAGTTCTTTTTAAATGAGTAATGACACTGTTTTGATAAAAGATCATTTTGTTTTCCTCTCAGATGCTGGTCTCTTCCCAGTCGCTCGCCTTCGTGGGAGATGACCTTTACATAGAGAGTCAAACATCAGGTGACCTCCCGATAGATGATGAAGACGGGGACGACTTAGGATCAGGATCTGGATCCGGGGACTATGGTAAGGGGACTGGGATTGCTTTTGAGTGACTTCCTAAGGTCACAACAAAAGTCTGAAAATCTGCATTGGTAGATTTTTTTCCCTCTGTTTCTGACAGTGTTTCAGTTGTACACCACCTATTTACTTCTTTAAGGCGCATACATTTATGAGATGAACAGCGCAACTGAGTCACATTCTATTCTGCTATTGTTCCTCGTGTTTGGTGTGCTTCAGTGAATAAGATCGAAGTCTTATCAATAAAAAGGAAGAAACAAGACAGTTTTACAATTTGTAGCAAGGGTAGGGAGTTTCAGGAGTGTGCGCACACAATCGCGAAATCTGCACTCAATGCTGAAATTAACGGTCTTCCACATGATGTTGTTATCAGCGCCCTGGGCAGCTAACAGAAGCTCGAGTCAGTGTCAACAGCAAATAAGCTGCTGCAAACTGCAAAACACAAATTTCCCAATGTGTTGTTTTAGGGTTATTTATTTGTTCAGGAAAAACTGGTTCATGTGTTTCAAGTGTTCATCACCAAATATTTGTGTGTGTGTGTGGAGATTATGCCAGTTGTCAGGCGTGGCCTTTTTACCCAAACCAGTAACTACATTTGCTATTATTATTCATTTGACTTGTTCACTCATCAGATGGATGCTTGTACATTCAGACTATTGGGGCTGTTCCAGATCTTTGCCGCAAGGTGATGTGGTCGAGGTGCAATTTTTATTACAAGCAAGCGGATGCAAAATACTTTTACCTTTTATTCATAATGATTCATCTTTACCTGTGCATAAGTCCCGGTTTGCTCACAGCAGACATTTTGACATAGTAACACAGTGAGTAGGAGAACAGATTTAATTTGCATACACAAGAAAATATGTACCAAACAATGACCCTCTTGATATTAGTCAAGCTCTTGCTGAAGAGATCAGGAATTTATTTACACCTTTTGGGTCGACATGCCATTGGTGGGACGGTTGACCCTCTCAAAATCACATCGGCATTTATTCATCATCGACATGAACTAGGAAGTAGCCTGGTAACTAACAAACAAGCATAAATACGATTCTAAAAAAAGGCCTTTCTAATCATTAATAATTATCTTAACAGTGAATCTGTTGTTTGCCATTAGCTTCATTTGTTTATAATGCTGCCCAATGAGGCTAGTGATTGCAATAAAAGGGATCTTTGCGGTTGAACTCTACCACCTTCCTTTATCTGACATCTTTCATGTTATTTTCTGTAGTCCGCAAAAAAAAAAAAAAAAAAAAACGAATCAACAGTGCTTCTGCAAATGACAGCAAATTTCTGCACTCGGTTTTGTTTCAAGATACAATCAGTCAGCAATTCATCATCAACGCCAAAAAAGCAACTGAATTGAATCAATAATTATCGGCCAGCCAAGTCATTAGCATGTTGCTAATCAGTACAGACTCCTCCACTCCTTGTTGCTTCGTACACAACCCGCTTATCATTCCACCTTAAAGGGACGTTTCCACACATCAATATGCTGTACCTGTGTAGTTGTATGGCACCATTTGTTTGTGGTAACCCAAAAATAAAATGCTAAATACTTTTTCTCTGAATGATAGTTTTCTGAAGTGTGTTTCAATTAGCTGATATCGCACATCACAAGTGCCACATCTGTGTGCAACGTTTGAGGTGTTTTTCTCAGTGTGGTTTACCAAATTTTAAGGTTTCAGTACAGTTACATCTCAATAAATAAGGACATCATGGACAACTTGATGAAGTACTTCAGTTCTTCTTCTTCTTCTCCTTTCGGCACGTCCCTTTTCAGGGGTCGCCACAGCGAGTCATTAATTCCCATCCGTTCCTGCAAACCGCCCTATCAACTCGCATGTCCGTCTTGGCAAAAGTTTTACGCCGGATGCCCTTCCTGACGCAACCCTCCCCATTTCTCCGGGCTTGGGACCGGCACCGGGGAACAGTGTACCCACAGGGGAGGGCACTGCTCCCCAGCGGCTGGGTTGAAGTACTTCAGTTCACAAATTGAAAAAAAAAACGTTTGTTTATAATTTTGATGATTGAAGCTTACAACCAATGAAAGAAATAAAATTCATCATCTCATGAGTATTCCAGAGGAAACATTCAAAACTAGATTTAACATTGAAATTACTTGGGAATTGGTCCTCTGAAAAGTATTGTAATGTCTTTAATGAATCTCTATCTTGAAATTCACGTTTTTAGTTGCTGTTTTTAGTGCTGAAATAAATTGTCTTGACCGCGATATTCACATTTTTTTGAGATGCACCTTTTATATTGATCATAACAACATTGCCAAAAAAACAATTAAAATGGTGCTGCAGGTGGTGCGCAAGGTCAAACTCCTGAAAAGTGACTCATACCCTGAATCTGTTGATAGAAAAAGAAGAGGAGGAGACAGCGATCCTCACCCCGAACAAGAGTGAAGAAATGCTTCCAACCCAACCAACAGCAGACTCTCCACACGGTCAACCGACCAAAGCAGCTGACCCCCGCGATCCACCGAACACAGTGATGTCCAGTGAGACAACAGCGATCAGTATGGACACGAAGGACAAGGAGGTAAAAAAAAAAATAAAAGTCCATATTGACGCTGGTGCTGTGCTGTGCAAACTATGGCTCCATACAGCCCTTTATGATCTTTTATCTCGCCAATCAGTTACATTATCAAATCTCCTGCAAATTATTGCATGAGTTTAGCAGATTTTTTTTCACTGTAATGGTCATAAGCAATTGTGAGCAATAAATATGCATTTAACATGTTTGTTTTAGAACAGTCATTAGCTACTGAGTTATAGATTCATTATAAATAAAACCAAAAATTAGAAGGACGTGTTATTGCAGTTGTTTGAATCAGGTGTGTTGGTGTGGGGAGACATCTAAAACAGACAGGATACGGCTCTCGAGGGACTGGATTTCCCTACCTCTGCCCAAGAGCACTGAACTTTTTCCAGCCCTGCTTTACACACCTGCTTGTTCCTTTTAGGTGGCAGGCAACGACCCAACGGCCGACTGGTTCACACATGCTCCGAGTCCCAGCTCCACTTCCGAGGACATCAAAGAAACCCCAGAAGACAACAGCCTGGATAGGTGGGACGACTCCTCCGCCACCAAAGATGGTGGAGACGCAGACACGAACGACATTCTGACAAATGAAATTCTCGTGAGTCGAGGCAGCAGAATGTTTGACTCTCCCGATGATGTGACGTCTGAGAGCATGTGGGAGCGAACGGAGGTGCTGGCAGGTAAGCGCACATTTACTTGCAATGACTCTCAAGAAAACATGCACAAAATACAACGGTCCAATCGCGGTTCCTTCTGCCCTTCCAGCAGTGATAGCCTGCGTGGTGGTCGGCTTGCTTTGTGCCATCTTCCTCCTTGTCCTGCTGGCCTACCGCATGAAGAAGAAGGACGAAGGAAGCTATGACCTGGGGGACACCAAACTTTCTTCAACAGCTTACCAGAAAGCACCAACCAAGGAGTTTTACGCCTGAACCAACCAATAGAGACTGTGAATAGATATCATCACGTGTCTGTTCGAACTGAGAGCGGATCAATATCAGCTTTATTTTCAAATTTTCAACCGCGCCAAACTCCCCTGCTCGTCTCTCCCGTCATCTATCTTTTTACGTCTCTCTCTCTCTCTCTCTCTCTCTCTCTCTCTCTCTCTCTCTCTCTCTCTCTCTCTCTCTCTCTCTCTCTCTCTCTCTCTTTAGTCTGCACGATTCTCACACAGAACGGGAGAATTCAAATGCATTCATATCATTCCAATCTGGGAAAAGAGTGGAAGTCTCTCTAGAGTGTCATAGGATTACAGCCATTCTAGTTAAGGAAAGTCTATTCAATCAACACTGTGCCTTAAACCCACACTGCCTCTATAAGATGGACTCGCAATGGTGTCAGCTCGGCTAAACAGTCATGAGGAAGTTAAAAAAAAGAAAAAAAGAAGTAGGACGCCTTCATTGTATTTTGAATGATCTACTAAAATGGTACTAGTAGTCCAAAGAACCGAAAGTTAATCGCTTTTTCCCTTTTTTGGTCGAGGTCAGATTTCATCTGTTGTTACATTTCATTTAGTGCTTTTTTTTTTTTTATAAATGACTGTACGAATGTTTTTTGTTGTTTTCATGACTAGTGAATATGTTATTCTATATTCTGTCCAGTATTGGTACGTGAGATTGGGTTCCTCTGCAGGTACATACCTTTGTTTTTCCTCATAAATCTTATATTGTAACGAATCAATATGTTTTCTTTGTTATCTTTGGAAATTGTAGCGTGTTTGTCTATTTTCATATTTTGAGATTTTTTACCTAAAAGCCATTTTAAAGAAAACATTTGCAGTCTATAGATTGTAGATTTCAAATGCCTTTGCACACACACCATGTCAACTTTGCATTGAACATTCTTTATATTTACAGGACTATTTTCTGTGATGACTGAGTGCAGCAAGCAAGGCCAAACCACATTCCATTGCAATTGCCAACTGTATGCAGCTATAATAACAGGTTTGACTGGTGACAGCATTGAGCATTAAGAGTCTTTCTGGACAATAAGGTTTTTCAGTAAAACGGGCTACTAAAATAACCACTTCAGTTTTCCATCTTGATAATGCAGTCATTTGTAGCTCTTCGGATTTATTTATATATGATTCACCATTTTGTCTGGTGCTAATTGTATGGCAAAGCAGTTTTTTTTGTTTACTTTGTGAGTTGTGAGGGAAAGTTAATTTGGAGCAGTTCTTTTGTTAGACTTCCTGTGTTTTCAAAAGTTGCTTTATAATCGGACCTCTAAAAAAGGCTCTCAAATGGAAATATTACCATATTTTTGCCAGAGATTTGCAGCAGTTTTTCTCAGATTTAAAACGATTTTCCTTTCAACAACATGCAATAAAAAAAGGTTGACATTTCTGTTGCGGTTTTACAAAAGACTAGGCTCTCATGCATTTCTCAAATTTCCTGCAGAACAAATGACTGACGTTTCATGGCTGGAATAAACACAACATTGTGTACATTAACACTATGTGATTTACCGTTCTCATCGAGATCATAAAGATACCAGATGATTGAGCAGAAAGGGCAGTTCATCAAAAAAATGTCATGAGATTTAGCCAGAAAGAACCCCATTGATAATTGTACTTTCTTTAACCTAAGGGTAAAAAGAGCAAGAACTCGGAATTCAAACACACATGTTGTGTGGATCAAAGTAACGGTGTAGCTTTTGCAACTTTAATTTGGGATTGTCTACTATGTTGTGATGATCCAGTCACATATGTATTAATGTGTATTATTTTAGACTATAATCAATTTCAGTCTGTAAAATGTACAGTCCTTTTTTTCAGTGTCTTTGTTCCTACTGATCAGATTATTTCAAATTGGTTTTATTATATCCTGGTTCAGTTGATTGTTAGTAAACCAGATTTATGCAATTTTCTTGAGTACTTTCAATAAAATCTGAGAAAATATCCTTTTACACACGTCTTTCTTTTAATAGGTTGAGCATAAATTGAAACCAGTGTAGGGTACAAAATGTCCAATTTGTAATAAATAATCTTTTAATAGGTTGGGCATAAATTGAAACAGGTGATGGGTACAAAATGTCCATTTTGTAATAAATGATCACACCGCACTAAGGCAAAAGCTGTGTTGCTCAAATGGTATGTTGAGTGAGGTTCATAATTGACGTGTTGAATATCCTTGCAAAGTTTAACCATTGATTTACCTTGACAGAAGTGCCAGCATAATGTTGACGGACCAAATGATAGCCTACCCTATCCTCCAAAGGCAGCAAATGCATAGATAACAAACAAATGTAGGAACACGTGTCTTTCACAAAATGTTGGCACGGGATTAAATGTCTATAAAAAAGGTAACTTTTTTGGAAGTGCATGTAAAAGTCACTAACAACTCGTTTTAGGCAATAATAGTACAAATTGGTTACGTACCGCACATACTACAAGATGTAAACACTCAGCTGTACTTTGAAATAGAAATGCTTCACCTTCAAACATCCATCCATCCATCCATCCATTTTCTGATTCGCTTCATCCTCACAAGGGTCGCTGGAGCCTATCCCAGCTGAATTCAGTTAGTTGGCGGGGGACACCCTGAACCGGTTGCCAGCCAATCGCAGGGCACACAGGGACGAACAACCATCCGCTCTCACACCCTCACCGAGGGACAATTTGGTGTCTTCAATCAGCCTGCCATGCATATTTTTGGAATGCGGGGGGAAACCGGAGTACCTGGAGAAAGCCCACGCAGGCATAGGGTGCACATGCAAACTCCACACAGGGAGGCCGGAGCTGGAATTGAACCCAGTACCTTTGCACTGTGAGGTTGGCGCACTAACCAGTCGGCCACCGGGCTGCCTTTGCCCTCAAACAATCAAATAATCATCATCATCAGCATCATCTTTAACCCTCATTGGTTTGTATCGTGTAAAATAATGTGTGTTTAATATTTACAGTATTGTGGAATATTATATTAATTATATATTTACTTTTAACACATTGTTTGTTTTCATGACCAATTCTGAATGCATCCGAATTTCCTGTGCTGCTTTTTTATTTGTCTTTCGTGCTTTACGAAGTCACGAACTGTTTTTCGTTCTAATTTTTCTGCATTTCTGAATTTGAATTGTTTTTCATTTATTTGCGTCCTCACCTAAAGCGCGAAGAAAGCTGGGATAGGGTTCAGCACGCTGGAGACCCTCGTAAGGATAAACAAATCAGATAATGGTTGGATGGATGGATTTATTTGCTGAACGTTTTACTACGAAGGGCTCGTAAAACAATACTTTTATTCTGGAGATGCCTCAAGAGGAAGTTAAAAATCGCTTGGCGAATTAAATCACGGCAATACTTACACCGGTTGTGAACATCTATTCTGTCTTCTTTGGGGTTATTCTCAAGACGGAAGCAGTTCTGCAGTCCTGGCCTGCAGGGTTTGTGTTCTTTCACTCAGTTTTAACATCAAACATAATCGCATTTTTCAATCTGTAAACTTGCCGATTTGTTATCTCGTCGTCCTCCATTCATTCGTTCAGTCTTGCGGACCTGACCTCGACATGTATTATTACAAAATTTTAATTTATGAATTCGTTTTTTTGAATTAACGTGTTATTTAGTCGTAGCTTTTCACTTTCCTTTTGTCTTCTCAGTGAAAGTGAAACCTTAAACTTAATGTCAGTCAGACCGAGTTCCTCTTCCTGACGTAATGCAAGTCTCCCATTAATGGAAATAAGAGCTTGTTCAGGCTTTTTTCTTACAAATCAGTGCACATATTTTACTTTGATAGTTAATATTGCATTGTGGCAAATTATCTTTCCTCAGATGGCACAGGTTGCTGTTAAACTGTCTCTCCGCTACTCCATCCTTGTGGGTATTTTCATGCTGAAATGCCTGGATGGGCGACCTCAGAGATCAGCAATGGTCAGATATGAATTCAACAGTACTGCTCGGAAAGGTACCACAAACCCATTTTTAAAAGTTGTCTATTTAATGAGGCCTGTTCATAGAATTTTATTTTCAAGACAGCAAATCGTGCTGTTGTCCCCCATACATTAAAACATCACCCATAACCGATAACATGCCTAAGGCAAGCTTTCATCAAATTACCTCGACTACCAAAAAACCCCCCAAAAACTATAGCACACTTTACCCACTCCATTTTATGTACATGTATTACTGAAATAAGCATATTTTAAGGGAATAGCCATGCAAGTTGGAAACTCTATTCGACACCCCACATATTGTTTGGCCAACATTAAGTAAATCTTTTGATAGCACAGCAGAGTTTTTTTTTTTTTGGGGGGGGGGTATGCAATAAACAATAAAAGCATTTTCACTTGTGGAGGTATCACTTTCTACACTATATTGTGTGTATGTTATACATGAATGAAACATAGGCTTCACAATACGCCTCGCTCACAAACCAATTTTCAGAAGTAGGCAGATGACAAAAGATTTCACGCCTGATGTATCGATCGACATTTCACTATGACAAGTAGACATGTCAAGCTTTCCGGGACACATACACAATGTTTATTATGATAAAGAAAATAGAATTTACATGATCAAAATCACTTGTAGTTAGCAGGGCAATGTCTGTCTTAACAAAATCGCATACTTCCAATGAAAAAAAATGAAGGAAACAAATCAGGGTTATCAATATAATAATATCAGGTTTCTAATATGTGTGCAAATGATTGGCCACTTGCAGTATAATAAGTTTCATTATTCTGCTACATTTTCATGATGACTGAGTGATTCTGAAGAGGCCAATAAAGGCACTTTACAGTTCTGACTTTAAAACTAAATGAATGTATAACTGCCTCATCATACAGTATTATTACATATACACAACAATTTGACAACTATTATTGAAATCTAAAGTCAAGGAAAATAGTTTAACTATTGATTGATAACAAATATGCTTGAAATACATGCCAATATGCAGGTAATATGCACTGTTGGTTCAGAATTTCTCCAGAAACATGACATCGAAGTATGATTTGCTTTAGTGGGCCACATAAAATGATGTAGCGGGCAGTAGCTGTCCCCCGAGCCTTTAGTTTGACCCCTGTGCTGTAAGGGAATCATAATTGATGGTTTAAACCTGCACTTGTTGTGTGTGTTAATGTGCGACCTCAAGACGTGGCCACAGAGGTTGCAGGCTACGCAGATGTGGCCAAACGGATCATCGACCTGGCTGTGTTCGGAGCTGCACAGAACCGCTCATACACACGCCTTGCAGACTTTACCGACACCATTGGGAACCGCGTCAGTGGCTCAATCAACCTGGAAATGGCTATCAAATATATGTATAAAGCTATGACGCAGGATGGTTTGGATGTACATCTTGGTGAGTAATCCTGTGTTACTGTCCATCCCAATGCATGAACCTCACATGCCCGCAGGCACCAATCTTTGCAGTCTTTTTATAAAATGTTTGTTTCTGTCTTTGGGCCTTTGTCACCAGAACCAGTAAAAATCCCCCACTGGATTAGAGGAAAGGAAACTGCAATGATGACATTGCCAAGGACCAAGAATCTTGCTATACTGGGCCTCGGGAGCAGTGTAGGGACGCCCCCTGAAGGTCAGCCACACTTCCTTCGGAAAGTGATTTTGATTTCTGAGTTCTTTCCTCGAATTGTCACTGCTCTTATTCATTGCTGAATTTGTGATTTATTAAACATTCACCAGCCTTCTAATAACAAGTATTTGTTAGAGGTGTACTGTGACTAGCCTGCTCGCCACAGAGACCCTGCAAAATAGCCTTCATAAAATGGAAAGATCTTTGATGAAAAAAGTGCATTTTAAACGTGCGTTAATTTCCCTTATTTTCCCTCCCTGGCTGAAGGCATTGAAGCAGAGGTGTTGGTTGTTGGATCTTTTGAGGAACTGAAGCGCAGAGCCAGCGAGGCCAAAGGGAGGATTGTGGTCTTCAACCAGCCATTTGTCAGCTACGGCATGACAGTGGCATACCGTGAATATGGCGCCTCCGAGGCATCGAAATTTGGAGCCGTGGCCACACTCATTCGATCCATCACGCCTTTCTCAATTAATAGGTGCCCATCTGCCTGCAGACATGGATATGCTATCTGTGCTATCAAGCAAAATGTTTTCGTGATCTTGGCCTCTACCTCTTTAGTCCTCACACAGGTTGGCAAGACTACCAGGATGGTGTGAAGCGCATCCCTACGGCATGCATCACCATTGAGGATGCTGAGCTGATGTGGCGTATAGCGCAGAGGGGACAGCGGATCACCGTCAGACTCACAATGGCCGCCAAGACACTCCCAGATGCCGACTCTTTTAATACGGTGGCTGAGATCAAAGGCTGGCAGCATCCCGAGCAGGTAGCACCCACCTTCCGTCTGGCTCCCATGTTTATTTAAATGTATGCAAATGCCTTCTTGCTTTCTCAATGTTAAATCGACTTGGAGGGCTACATTCAAATGAACATGTCACTTCAATAATTTATTCCCTCTGTTTGGTGGCCACACATGGGAGGAATTATTTGAGATTTCCTAAATTCAACTAGATATATTACAAACAAACCAAAGCTATTTCTTTCATGACATTGTTTTTTCATGAATACAGGACAGTACTCCAGTTCTGGCTGCAGGAAGTGAAACACAAAACTGCCTTTGTTGTGTTCATCATAATTCCCCGCAACTACTTGTCATTTCTAAATAAGAGGAAGTCTCTTGAAAATGTCAATGTCTTTACTGTTTTAATCTATTGCCTGCAGAAAATAGATTTCATTTTACACGTGAATTAATATCCCAAAAACAACAAAAGTTTACTCGACTAGGTGAAGTGTTCTGGTCTGTTGTCTGGTATAAACCGTGGTCTTGCTTCATCATCATTTTATCATGTATCACATACCACGACTTGACCCAACATGTACAGTAAACCGTCATGTCCAAATCCTTTGAGATGGCATACCTGCATACAGGGAAAAAACGGGTAGAACTTGAAAAACACACACGCTGCTTCTACCCAAATCTCGAAATAAACTCACTCTGAATACTTTTATCTTCGTAAAAGCAGACCTTTTGACACTACTTTTGTACTTACTTGCATGTTTTCTTAATTAAGAGTTTGGTGAGTGTATTTTGCATGTTGAATCATGGCTTGCCATAAAACATAATACATCCAAATGCCACAATGGGTAATTCATTCATATTCTGTGTTTGTGAAATGGTTCTCTATCAGCTTTTCGTCATTTACAGCACAGAGACAAGTAAAGCCAAGTCCTGCTCAGTTTACAGTTAAAACATCATACATGTACATGATGTTGATGATGACAATAAGCCCAAAATGCTAGATATGGATTAAGTTTATAATATGGGGAAATGAAACCCATGCCATAATTGAATCATCTGTAACTTTTGGGTTTCCCCTTTTGCAGTTTCACTGAATGATGTGGGGGTGATTTGAGGTTTCATGATCCTCAGTATGAGGCTGAGTCACTCAGTCAATTATCTAACAGTAATTTATTTTACTGTTACTCTACCTACTGAGCATTTACACCTTTTACACTCAATTGTACAACAGCCTTCTGGAAATGGCCAAATGTGTAAAATTTGTAAACATCCCTTACATATAAATATGCAGCTGGTGTATGATTTAAAATGACATTTTTTTCTCAACGTCATTGATGGTGCAGTGGTACACTTGCCTGACTTGTGTGTGGGCGGTGTGGGATCGTTTCCTATGAAGTGACGGTCTGAATGTGGGTGTGTGTGGTTGTTTATCTTGAAATGTTCCCTATGACTGACTGGCAACCAGTTCAGGGGTTAGTCCGCCCTTATGCCCGAAGTCAGATGGGATAGTCTCCAGCAACTCCCATGATATTCACAATCTCCCGTGCCAACTTCTGACACACCCACCTTGCGTTATCTCGAAATTTTAGTGCAACCGTCAAAGACGTGTGACTCATTGAAGTCTGAGGCTGGCCATAAATGAACCCTGAACTGGTTGCCAGCCAATCACAGGGCACACATAGACAAACAATCATTCGCGCTCACACTCACACTTAGGGACAATTTAGAGTGTTCCTTTAACCTGCCATGCATGTTTTTGGAATGTGGGAAGAAACAAGAGTACCCTGAGAAAACCCACGCAAGCACAGGGAAAACATGCAAACTCCACGCAGGAAGGCCAGAGCCGGAAACGAAACCTGCACCTCTGCACTGTGAGGCGGACGCTAACTAGTCATCCACTGCGCTGCCCCAAAAAGAATCTTAGTATGGATAACGTGCGTTTATCAAATAACTGATTTGACAATTGTGTGGTTACTAAAAGTTTTATAAAAACAACTGATTAAACCTGGAAAGAATTATTTCAATTTGCATTATATTAGATGGCAAGAAGATCATATATTTTGTTTGACCTCTCAGATTCAATATTTAGTTAGTTTGTTTTTTGATTATGAAACAAGGTCTTCGTTCCTATTTTTGTTGGTTTTTCTCTCAAAGTGGTGCAATGTGTCAGGGTCATGGTCCACACTTTTGTTTGTCCACACACTGTCCTGCTCCTCCCGCTGACAGGAATTCAACAAAACATCACTGGAAATAGTGTTTGTCACTCTTTTTTTTTTTTTTCCTTCCAACGGGATGCACGGATTTAATGTGTTTCATTTATATGCGCTAGGTTGTCCTATTGAGTGGTCACCTGGACAGTTGGGATGTGGGCCAGGGTGCCATGGATGATGGGGGCGGCGCCATGGTTTCCTGGGAAGCCCTGTCACTCATAAAACAGCTAGGTGAGCCAAGCCAAACAATTAAAAACGCATGTAAACAAAGCTGCGTAAATAATTACTTTTGATTTAGTTCTCTCACTGTGAATGAGGAGTATACGAACAGTACTTCCAAAACTTGCACAATCATCTCACGTCACATTTATGTGGAAAGAAACTACAGTGCTTGTATAGTTATATATTGGATGAATGTTTTCACCAGGCGTGATTTTAACCACTATTTTACCGTTCATTACCCTTGGGTTTTCTGAAAGGCACTTGAAATAAAAATGTATTGTTGTTGTTATTATTTGAACATAAATTTTATTTTTATTGATGAGACCACTGGTCATAAGCCCCCCCCAAAAACAAAAATATATTTTTTTCCCCAAATTCTAAAAACTTCAGGAATTATGAATTTTCTGAATTGGAATTCACCTTTTTGTACTCAAATTTGAGCTGACTCATTCAATTATTCAAGAATAATATTCAACTATGAATATTATTGGACAAGCCCGTCGCTGCTCCACTCCTTAGCTAACCCGCTAGACAAATGAATCAAACCTAAAATTCATTATGAACGTGTCTCAATTCTTCTTCTTCTTCTTATTTTTGTCTTTATGCACTCAGGGGTGCTTCTTTCCCTTGTGACTTGTGAATAAATAGGTTACAAATGACAATTATTAATGCTTTGTTATTTATTACGAAATGAGGTGAATAATTTAAAGTAGTAACCTCTCCAAAAGAGAATCTTATTATAAACCGAAGAGAAAAAAAATCTCTCTCTCTCTCTCTCTCTCTCTCTCTCTCTATATATATATATATATATTTTTTTTTTATACATATATATTAGATGATACCAGTTTTAAATCATATACTGTAGTTGGCAAAATACTAGATCTTAAAGTAACCCAGAAGCTTAACATATTAATATGCCAATTTTGGCGGGGAATGTAAAGTTAGTGCATACACATATAAGAACATATTTGTTGTAATGTGGTACACAGTTATGTTCTTCTCAATGTGTACCCTCATTCATTTCCAGGTTTACGTCCAAGGAGGACCATGCGCACAGTGCTGTGGGCGGGTGAAGAGCAGGGTGGCGTTGGAGCGCAGCAGTACTACGATCTTCATAAGGTCTTACACATTGTTGCATTTCTGAATAGAGAAAAAAATTGCACTGCACAATGAAAGAGAGCAGAACTATAGAAATCAATAAAGCATCTGTAGAGCGCCAACAATTGGTCTATGGTTCTGCTGTCCAGATCTGGTTAATCTAATCTCAGCCCTTGCACAAGCTGCATGTAAACTACAGCATCCAATTCAACAATCACACTGCTTTGATTAGTTCTGGATGGATCTTACTCCAATGTTACCTAACCTTCATTGAGCCAAAGCGCATATTTTATCTTTGAAAACCAAAAATCTCATGGCACACCACCAAAGAGAAATGACATGCAACGTGAATACACGGGTTCGTTCTGTTACTTCTGCTTTTCAGTGGAAGAGCATTTCATTTTCCTGCTTGTCACTAATTCATTCAATGCTGGCGCAGCTCGATCAACAAAGATACATGATTTGTAGGACTAGGAAATAAATCATTTTCAGATTGATTCAGTGAAATGAAGTAATTTCCCAAAGCACGCCTGATGATTCACTTACGTAAGGCATACTAATGTGGAAGAGCACACTGATTGGGGAAGCACTTAAGGCTTTTAAGTACTGTATATATACTATTTTGTGCTCTGGCAATGTATGAAGGTCATTTCTCAAACCCTTTTGTGTTCTCTGAAGTTTGGAAACTTGATTTTAAACTCGCATGTGGTCTTTTTAAGTTATTAAACATTTTGTCACTTTGCAGTTTGTTTTCTCCTTTCAACTTTCTCTCCCATCCAGGTGAATTTATCCAACTTCGATATGGTCATGGAGTCTGACATGGGGACATTCAGCCCAGTGGCTCTGCAGTTTACTGGAAGTGTTGCAGCACAAAAGGTAAGAAGATCTTTGCACGGCAATCACAGAAGCATTTTTATATGCAGTGTACATTGTAATTCTGTATACCCTACAAAGCACTGGGTGCTAAAAAAAAAAAACAAGACAGTATGAAAAGCATGAACCTCTGTTTATTTCTGTCTGCAAATTGTATTTTAGTGGTAGTGTGAGGAGCTGAGGAGAACATGTCCGTGTGTCTACCAACAGGTGATGGAGGAGGTGGTCAAACTGTTAGCTCCTCTCAATACCACAAAACTGGAGAAACATGGGGAGGGGACGGACATCTCTCCTTGGATGCAGGCCGGAGTACCAGGTCAGTTGAATCAGCAGGATGTTACCAACCACAAAGGGAAATAGGAAGTGTTCCATCTCAATTGCTTTGGGGTGACGGAATACTTTATTACTTTTGAAAATGCTGTGACCAGAGATTCACTTCCTCTGTGTCTTGCCTTATTGTCAGCTTTAAAATAGTGCCAAATTAGTAATGGGTTGGTGAAGCATTCCAGCACATTGGGCAAACTGAATTGCTACTGTGTCATTTTTAACATAATGTAAGTTTAAAATATCTTTGAATTATAGAATAAATATGTATGGTAATGTAAACATGTGTCATGATGTGAAAATAAGAGTGCAAATGTCATGCTTGTGAACAGAAGTTGCTTATGAACTTGTCTTTGAGGCACGGCATTTTAAAACTTCTTTTTAATATATATTTTTATTTTAAAAGTTTATCCAGTATTTTTCTACACAAATTTCTGTAGTTTAGATTAACACATGCACACAATACAGTGACAATACAGTTTGACAGCCACGGAATATCATGGGCCGTAATCGACCAAACAAACAAAAAAGATTGCTGAGTGGGACTTAGTTTGAAACTTCTAAACGGTATTATTTTACATCTGTCAATGTTCCCTGTGATTGACTGGCAAGCAGTCCAGGGCGTCTTCTATTTCTCATCTAAAATCAGTTGAGAAAGGCTCCAACTTCCCTGCAAACCTAAACAAGATAGGCAGTAGAAAATGTATATGTGTACTGGGATGGATGGATGGATGGATATCAATATCACCCGAGAATTAATTGTGCGAGCTGGTGAAGGTTTTTATCCATTGCTGATTTGGAGTTTAAAGCCATGGCTCATAAGTCAAATAAATTCAAGAGAAAGGGGGAAAAGTTTCAAACTATACCATTTGATCAAAGGGGTGACTGATTGTGCAGTTACCATAATGATACAGTAACATTCCTTTGCCACTGCCAAAACATTATGAAGAATTCTTGACATAATGCAGTTCATGTCTGCAATTTGGGGAGAGGTTGAAGGTCCCACTGCAAAAACATGGACACAAGAGTACAAATGTTTCAACACCATTTGTACATAGCCTTCACTCTTTCCCTCATTTCATCATGTGCATGGATATGCATGATGTGGCAATTTGATTATGTGTTTGTAATACATAAAAAATCAGAACGCAAAGGTGCATCACCCTGAAAAGATGCACTGCTACTTCAGGACCCGGACGATTTGCTGTGATTGATGGAACCATGAATTATGCTCTGGACTAGAAAATTCTGAGTCCGAATGTTCAAACATGAGTTCATGACAAGCTGATGTGCACTTGCGTTCTGAAGCAGGAGAACGATCCAAAACATACTAGCAGGTCTGCTTCTGAATGGCTGAAAAAAAAAAAGAAGGTATTGGAGTGGCCTTGTCAAAGTCCGGACTTTAATCTGTTTTTAATGTTGTGGCATGACCTGAAAAGGGCCGTTCACCTCTCCAGTGTTACTGAATCAAATCAATTGTGCAAGGAACAGTGGGCCAACAAATCTCCCCAGAGATTTGAAAGACTCATTGCCAGTGAAAGAAAACGCTTGATTTCAGTTGTTGCTGCTGAGTGGGGCCCAACCAATTATTAGGTGTACGGGGCCAGGACTTTTTCACACAGCGCCATTTGGCTTTGAATCAATTTTTTTTTCCCTTTAATAAAGTCAACCTTTAAAAACAGCATTTTATGTTTGCTTGGGTTACCTTTGTCTAATATTATATTTGTTTGATGATCTTCAACATAAAGGTGAGGAAACTCCCAAAAAATGTAAGAATTGATTCCAAAATGTAAGAATTGGAGAAGAGGATGAATATGTTTTCACCGCACTGTAGGTACAGTAGATAGACAAGTATAAAATAAATAAATACTTAATTTCACAAGATGAAAAATTAACTTTTCAGTTCCCACTAACTCTTTTATGTGTTGCCCGTCATCCAGGTGCCAGCCTCCATGTGGCCGACAGTCGCTATTTTTGGTTCCACCACACAGAAGCTGATACCATGACAGTTCAGGACCCTCGAGATATGGACCTCTGCTCGGCTTTGTGGGCCGTAGTGGCTTATGTAGTAGCAGACCTCGAAGACATGCTGCCTCGGTAGTTGTTTAGAGGAGGGGACACGGGGATTCTCGGCAACTGCGTCACAAGTGTTTACGCCGGTGATATTGCAGTAGAGTATCAAGGCTTACCAAAAAGTAACATTGCACATAATGCGAGACCAAAATATGACAAGCACGAAGGGAAGCTTTTTTTGACCAAAATAGTTTGGGTTTTCCTATGGTTTTTATACTTGTATTTTTTTTTTTTAACTTTTCCATGTTTTTACAAAGTGGGACTTTTATTTAATCACCGGTTTTCCATGTGTTCTGAAAGATTTTACAAATTACTAAATAAATAAATTTACTTTAATTACTTTGTATCATAAATAAACTGCCATTGCTTTGGTCATTCATCACCATACTATTATTCCCATTTTACTCTTTTCATGATTTTGTGCAGGGCGGTCCGGTGTGGAGTTTGCATGTTCTCCCCGTGCCTGCATGGGTTTTCTCCGGGTACTCCGACCCCCCCATCCCACATTCCAAAAGCATGCATGGCAAGCTAATGGAACACTCTAAATTGTCCCGAGGTGTGAGTGTGAGCGTGAATGGTTGTTCGTCTATGTGTGCCCTGTGATTGGCTGGCAACAGGTTCAGGGTGTCCCCCGCCTACTGCCCGAAGACAGCTGGGATAGGCTCCAGCACGCCCCATGACCCTTGTGAGGATTAAGTGGATCGGAAAATGGATGGATGATTTTGTGCAATGAAAGCGCTGATAAGTGAAATTAGCTCTTGATGATGTGATCAGAATGATAAAAGATGGAGACTTTAACGGCATGTAAAAAGGTTTGCCAAGAATTCATAATCAGATAAATTTTTGGTTTGCCACGGAAGGCCGCATAAAACACAATTGCCCAATCTATTTCGAAGTCATCATTCCCATCAGTAATGTCAACCAGTGTAGACAAAAGTCCTTTTGGAAACTCTGAGTGTGCACTGGATGTTGTTGTAACTTGTTGCAGGCCTTAAGTCACTTTTTGTCAATGTCTGCTGAACTCATGCGCTGATTCAGACACACACGCACACGATTATGTGAGTTGGGAAACAGACTGGATGGTTCAGCACAATGAGTCACACATCTGTGCTGACATGAGCTGCAGTAAGCCGCATGCACACAAAAACAATTCATATAGTCTACTTGAATCCGGTTCACTTATTTTACATTTTATGCATTCATGGTTTGATATTTTTTTTACTCATTGGTGCCAGTTTATTTGATTCAGATAACTATTGCTATTGAGAATTTAACTTGACAGGTTTAATGTTAAAGTGATACTGCTGAAAACCTACAGAGGACGTGCTATTCTGCATACTGTATATTAATATTGTACAACAGGATTCAATGACTTTTGTGAAACTGAAAGCTACTTTCTGGGTACTGATTAAGGTGAAGGGCTAACGGTTTGATAAACACTTGTGAAATAACAATGTATCTTTAATTATGTTATTGTTGATCATATCCTCTATGACAGATACATAGGGCACTTACTCTAATTTTATAATAAATCTCTGCAAGTGTCAAGACTTTCAAATTGTCACTTCTACAACGTTCCATGATTCCGCGCAAATGACGTCTTCACTCATGAGTCACTTCTAGAACAGGGCCACGGCCTAGTCACGTGGTCCTGCTGGTAACTACTGCGAGACACAGTCAACACTTTTATTTTTCTTTACATGTCTCCACCTTGTGGACAGTCACCCAAATAGCAGCCAGTAAGTCTACACTTGATTTTGAGGGGTAAAGATAACAGTCACTCAAGTCATAATGGCAAAAATGTATTACAAAGAATTTATACAGTTAAAATTCAAGAAACCTGGAGACACCCCAACAGTTTGCAAATGCCAAAATTCAGGATCAATAATTATGAACACTTTTAAACATAGATGTGATGGAAGGCATGAGAATGATGTCAAGTTGCAATAGGCCTTCTGGAGTTGAACACCTTGATGCCATTTTGCATTGAAGATCGAGCATATTTGGTCAACAGTGCTCCCGTGGTTTGTTTCTCTCGGCAAAGGTCCCTGGAAAGCAGGAGGAGAAGACATGACTTGGGGTCAAGTTAAATAAAAAAATAAAGAACATAAAAACAAATACTGACTGATGACAAAGATAAAAGAAAACGGCTTTTTTTTTGCCATAAATTATGAGATTATAACTCTTTCTTTCACTGCAGTTTTATTCCTCGTTCTTGTTGGAGCGCAATGCTGTTGCTTGCAGCAACTACCACAGAACCACATTGTATTCAGATAAATTCTGAAAGCTCACAGGACATGATTGTCCATTACATTTACGACATTGTGACAATGTTTATCTGAGATACAAATTTCAAATCATAGCAAAACAAGTTGTTCACGGACGCCCAAAATCAGACCCGTAGATTGTGCGAAAGTTCAGTTGCATTGCCGTGTAGGTGCCTAAAGCACAGCATACCACAACATTTTGGTTGTCCATTGCTCTTCAGTGATAAATACATTTATTGAACATTTTAATGTCCCCCGCAACCCTTGTGAGTATAAGCGGTTTGGAAAATGGATGAATGCAGTGATTCTAAATGTCAAAATTAAAATAGCGTTATTTAAAAAAAAAAAAAAAAGATGATACCCACGCTATATATGGCGTAATATCCTCTTCTGTCCATTTCTCTCGCAGTGTGAAAAGATGATTAAAGCGCTCCAGTGTGTCCTCTGGGAGCTCTTCGACCTGCAGAAGACAGATGGTCTCAGGGCGGGAGGTGCGGTCCACCAGGGCAACACTCTAGAGGAGGTACAACATTCTCGTTGTGCTCTACTATTGATTTCTGATTTGCAATGAAAATGTGACGATTAGATGCAAACCTTGAGCTGGTCCAGACTGGTGCTCATACCATCTGGTACGCTCTGCTGCCACACCTCCTGAAATTCCCTCAGGTTGAACTTAACGGCATTCTTCAGCAACATGAGCGCAGTGGCCCGACAAACTTTAGCCTCATCCAGCGCGTAAAACACATCATCTGTTTGGAGGCAAGTGGATATGTAAAACTCTACTTGGCAATTCCTACAGATTGCAAAAAATGTTTTCACTCACCATTTTCAGTGTAGCGTGTCCCATAGCAGTTTAAACAGTGCTCAATCATCTCTCTGTGAACAACATTAAGACACTGGAAGTCTTTTTTTTTTATCTGTTAATGTGCCGCAGTACCCTCTTTTTATGTTGCTATCAATTTATTGCCTCAATTGTCTTTATGTTTAGCTATTTTTATATGGTTGATTTTTACTTAACATACAGGTCTTTGTATGCAGCAATGGTTGTTTTGAAAGTGCTATATAAATAAAGTTGAGTTGTTGAGTGACGGTTGACACTGACCTGGGCTCAAGTGGGCCCAACTCCTCCAGACTGGTTTGAAGTGGAACCTTGTTGCAAGACCATGACTCCGAGTCCACCAGCTGAGTCACATGACCAAGCAACTTCATCTCATAGTCAGAGTCGAGCACACGCCAGCAGCCTGAAGAAACACACACGGTATAACAAATGTCTTTCAAATTGTTCGGTGTTGAGGAACACTGGCAGTGAGCTTTTCAATTAACAGTGTGTTAATATTGTGTCTCTTAACCATTTATTTGACAGGCGTGGACGGCCTTCAAGTGGTTCTTGAGTTCGTCTTCACTGGCTTGAATCGTCTCCAGCAGATCGTCCATGGTGTACTACAGAAAAGGGATGCACATACTGCAAGTCAGTTATTGTCGGTTTATAACCAGTGCTTAAAATATTTACAGTCCATCAAAAAAATACGATCCTAGTGTGTATTGTGTGTTCCTGTGATGTAACTAATTAACCATAAAGTAGCAGCAAGTTCAAGGAGGAAAAATATGTTACTGTGTTTTCAGCATTCTCTTGCTGCCCTGCTAAGGGAGGTCCTAGATATGGATTCTCCCTTAAAACTCTCAACAGCTTCTTCAATTTGGGACGCTGTCTCCTCACTTCCCAGTAGCTGTTGCAAAAGCCCCAGATCTGCAAAGAGTGAAGAGCAGACTTGAGTCGAACGTTAACTTAAACTACTTCGTACAAGGAATATTGTAACCATGCCACATTTGAATTCCTAGTTAATTTTCAATTCAGCAATTGTCCACTTTATTGCTTCTAATTGCAATAGAGATCAGTGGCGGGGTATGCCATTGGTACCAATGGGGATTTGTCCGACTTAATCCACCTCCTGTTACTGTCCCTGTCATGTCACAATTATATAAATCAGCAAAAATGTATTTTTTAAAAACTCACAATATAACAGCACACTCTGTGCCACATACATAATTGAAAAAAATACATCCTACTTAGTAGGGATACTGATTATTAAATGGATTACAGTCATGTGTTTTGCAAGTCAAACCCGGCTTGCTCTGGCCAACCAATCTGGCCTGAAAAATGCTGATGTTATTATGGGCCAGATAGTTGGCCCAGGGAAGCAAATTTAAAATGTGATAGTTTTAAGAGAACGTCCCATTGCTAATATACAGTAGCTTGAGTTACATTGAACAACAATACTTATTCTGAATGCCCCGGGCAGTTAAAAATCTAACGGCCACATTCACTGAGAAGCGGTGCACTCAAGACACATTCTATTTTGTCAGTTTCATGAAAAACAACAACAAAAAAAACCAAAAAAAAAAAACAAAACAAGAAATATAAGTTCGCAGAGTAGGCATTGATGACCCTGAAGATTCACCACTGATGGAAATACAATGGAATTTCGAAACTCATAACCTGAGCATGAACGAGATGTGTGCTCTCCTGTGTGCTGGTGAGCTGATCGGGTGTTTTGCATCCTGGCAGAAAGAGCAGCATGTTGGACGTGTCTGCGATCTTCAAATCGTAAGTTTTGTCATCGCTACACAGCACGGCATGTTCATTTTTGTCCCCTCTGATCACCAGGCTGCCAAAGAGGACATCCTTGTCAGGTCTACTGTCACTTACAAAACATATTACATGTTTAAACTAGAAATTTCAAATATGGTTCAGACCTGTTACCCGCTTCTATGTGTTTGCACAGTGTGTCGTCCAGCTCCATCAGGCAGTAGTCTGCAGACGAGACGTTCTCTCCCAGAGACAGACAGTGAATCGTTTTCTGCAGATCTTCCTCGTTCAGCTTGGCGATCTCAAGCGTGGCCCGAACCTCCTCCAAAGCTCTCATTTTGAACAGACCGTAAATTGGAAAAATCCAGAATAAATTTTGAGAATATAGACGAAACGAATGAAAAAGGTCCTCGAATGGGTGCTTTGGAGAGTAAGAAAATGAAGTGGTGCGTAGGCTTCTCAACAGAGTTACGCGCCCTCTTTTTGACGCAGGAAGGAAGCTGAAGTATGTGTGATGTCAAAATAAACCCGTA